GGACGTCAAATGATGCACAGCCCCTCAGAACTGCTGGCGACGCGAAACAAACCTGTGCAAAACGATCGCTCTAAAAAGTTGAATTTGTGACGTGCCGCTGTGTCTTTGTCGCGGTGGTTGGACTTTTTCTTAGCGATCAATCGTACTTTTTGTTAAAATTTAGAATCTTATTAGTTTCTAAATTATACACGAAAAAGGAATTCAAGATAAACTATGTAGAGCGCTAGAAATATCACTTTGCCAACGCGGTCAACTTCTGGAAGGCGACCTGCAGATTTAAAATGTAACCAGCAAGTGCCGGACTCTCATAGAACAAGCGGCAGAACTACGAGTCGTGAGTACTTGAGTTTGTGCATTGAGACACCAGGAAATTGCGAGAACTGACCTCCTTGAAGCCTGAGCTTTTCACGACGATTTTCTCCACCTCAATCATGGGCGGAATGATAAATCTGGAAGTGGCAGAGGCGTTAGAACTGTACTGGACAAACGACATGGGGGCGTACGTGTTCTGCTGGACTACAACTCGAAATCTGGCGATGACGCGATCGGCGATTACGGTGTGGGCGACACTGCAAGTACATATCCACATTGAGCTACAAAGGTCAATTTGTTACCAAAATGTAAGCAAGTTTTCACCTCTCTGATCGAATGCTGTTACTGTCCTTGGCAGCTGAGTTTTCATTGTATATATCGTGTGTCTTGTTCAGGAATTCTGTCATCGTCGCACAAAGCATGAGGGTACAAGTGTCGAGCAAAAGCGTGCAGTCACTCTTACCATTGAAAAAGAAGCACGCACTGAATGCTGCCAAGAACGTTTGCAGCGATGCTCGCCGCTGGCCATCTTGGTCTTCAACAAGATGACAGGTTGCTTGCAAAATTAATTGCGTTGGCAGGTCCCTACACTGACACCGAAGCATTTCTGTGAAGTCTCCAACGGAGAGGACTAGTAAAATGCAGCAGCAAATCCAGCATTTCAGCAATGACCTAAGCAGCAGTACTACCCAGATTTAGTGCATACTGTAGAGCTTACCTATCTCGTGATCGATCTTTGCGTAGCTGCGCTGTAGTTGGGCGAGGAAGGCGACACGGTTTTGCAGACAACCGTTGATGTACTCGTATGGCCGACTTTTGACATTGGATCCTTTGGCGACTGCGCTGAAGTAGCTCGCGATGAACTGTGCCGGTTGGTCAGGGCGCTTGTCCTGTAGCTGGCGCACCAGGTCGTCCACGTAGAATTGCACGCCTGACTGCTGCAGATAGAACTCACTGGATGATGTGGAGTTACGTGACGGTAACCGCGTTAATGTACGCAACTTCGATCCACTCGAGACGGTCGGCGCTGCAATATCGCCCGCACCATCATTCCCAACAAGAGGGATGCGATAGGCGCTAGCGATGAGGCGCTCCGCCTGCAGGCGGCTCGTCGGAGCGCTCATAGCGAAGAAAAGTCCATAAAGATTTTTTATTAACAAATAAACAGCAGCGTTACGTCTTGTAAAACGCAGATTTGTATAGCCAATAGAAAAGCTTCAGGCATCTTACTTCTTAAGGATACTTAAGAAGTGACAACACTTGCCGAGTTGATGAGAAGGACACGTTTGGGTAAAAAAAAAACACTCGTCAGTACGCATGCTGATTGGCTAGGATGACGGCTTTTTAACTTAGTGCTTAAAACTCGTCGGTACGCATGCTGAATGCCATCTTGGCCAATCAGGAAAGGGTTTACCAAAACAAAAAAGCGTTAAAACAAGGTAAGATTGTAAAATGTATTTTACGATATTTTACTTTCTTACACTTTTTTTGCAAACGTAATTTAAAAAAAAACAAGTTGGCAAGATTGCAAAAAAAGTGCACCTCAAAAATGCTTTCTTTTTTCTTGAAATTTTCTAGACAATATTTTGTACAGTTCGCTTCGGTGCTGCTTCTTGCTCCATGCGTACCGACGAGAATCGCCGTCCAAACTTTGGGCGAGGTCAACCCTCGCCGGGATCTGCGGATGTCGACATGAAGGAC